CCCGCGACTTCACATCCGTTCAGTTACTTCGAATATATCTTCATGTTCTCAGTATACCATCAAGGTCCATTAGATACAATTTTAGTTATTACAGAGAGAATGTTATAGTAAAAATTATTATTTATCTGCACAGCTTAGGAATAGATTGAAATTCTGCGTTTGATTTTCCATCCTTTCATTTTATATATATGCTACTTATATTTTAAAAACTAAAACGTGCTGTTAAAATATTTACTAGGATCGATTTCGTGACTTTTATTCATTTTTAGAAGTCTTTTTAACAAACAAAGAGAAAGTTCACTTATCTTTCTTTCCCTTTTTTTAATTGACTAACATATATTCTCTCTGATTTACTATTTGTCCAATTACAATTACGAATCTATCTCGTAATTTCCATCTTGTAGTTACCGCATAGTATAATATACAGAGTGTTGAAATAAACGCCAAAATGTTTGTATAAAAAAAATTCATGCTCTGATAGGAATGAAAAATATCCAGTGTATGTGATCGTACGTGTGACTGCGTATATTCGTCAATTTGCTCTCATGACGCACACACGTTACATAAAAAGAGGATTGAGGGATTATGAATACGCGGATGATGAAAATTCGTGAATAGCAACGAAAACCATGTGACTTTCGCATGATGGATTTTGCATGGCGGTGCTGGCACGGATAATGGTGAAAATACGCTCTGTAATCGATTCTTTCCGTAGCATACGTGTGTATGTGTATGTGCAGGGTGCGTTCGTGACGATCGATGCGCGGTCTCCTTTAAATATTTACAACGATTCTGGATCATTCAGTAACTACGTTCGCGCCGCCACTTTGCAGCGATCAATCTATAATAATTTACGTGGCGCCCCGGAAATCAAACTCTAGCGATTAGCTTCGTTAATGATTGCGGCACGCCGAGATAATCGACAAGCGATGAATAATTTAATCGGCTATGGCTTCGCGCCGCTGCACTTAGGTCACGGCTCAACCGTAACGTATCGCGCGATTAAAGTACATGTGGCTTGAATTTTCAGTTCGACTCGATACGAGCGACTCAAGCAAAATGGAATATGCAGGTATCTCTTGACTACCTTCACCCATAAATTCTTCAACTCGTTCGAAATCGATAGTTTTCTGTCTTTATTTGTCTTTTTTTCTCCCTTTTTTATCACGAGAAACACGAACTCGGCAGCTTCATTTCGAGTGAATTCCACTCTGAACGGGGACTTTTAATTCGCGGATAACTCACGCAAAGTCGAACGTTGGAAAGTCAAGGAGAGAGGAGGCGCGTGTTGTCCAATTAAATTTTTACTAAGGAAAAGTCGATTCTAAATTAGTCAAAGGATATGTACATAAAAGAAAGCGGCGGAAAAGTGGGACACTCTGTGTGTATGATTAATGACGTTACTTACCTTATATTACGCGCGCAAATTTATTTGCTAATATTTACTTTTTCGCTACGGTTCTCTGACGTTGTTTGCCGCTAAGATATTATATCTTGCATCTTGGTCTATCGCGAAACTGGCGCGGAATTGCCCCAGTCTGCTCGTTAACACAAAGCCGATGCCTCGCTACGTTAAGTTCCAAACGTAATTTTGTCGTATTCGTCGAGTGTACGTCATTAGCTTGACGAATAGTGTCAACGGCGACAAAGCTAAGCATGCGACGGCGAGGAATTACCGCGTTTTCAAAGCAATCACGTTGTCACAGCGGCAATGCTCGTCGCATTTTCGCAAATTGGTCGGTCACAAGAGATTGCTTAATAATATCCTTCGTCTTACGCATGTTGCGGTTTTTCTCGTTATTCCGTAATTCAGGCGCGAATGTATTGTTCTTTTCCGCGAAAAAGAGACGACAGTTCGGCAGGCGTACACTGAGAGAAATTATTCGATAAGAAATTAACAAACGGATACTTCCGATCAAAATACCGATGAACTTTCGTATCCGATCAGAAAACATTCAATGAGAAATATCGATTCATAATTTTTTGATCGGTTTATCTGATGAAATGCCGTTATAATCGGAAATATTCGATAAATTTAATCGGATATTTTGATAGGATATAAAAATTCATCGGTATTTTGATCGAAAATATTCGTTAATTTTTTATCGGATAATTTCCTCCAGTGTATGTGCGACGTTATTATTAACCGGCGCTAATTGCGGATAAAAGCGAAGCAAGTATCGCCAAGGAAGATCTTGAACGTAATCGAGGATTAACGCTCATAACCGTTTTCCCCGGATCGATGAAAGTACGAGGCCTAAAATAATGCCCCACGTGGATCTAATGGGCGGTTGATGCCGTAAGTGCAGCTCTCGTTTCGCGATGTTATGGCCATAGTATGGGCTCGTTAATTATTACGCGAATGGTACGCTCCCTCGATACCTGCAAACGCCGGCGCTTCGAACTATTCCGTATGTTCTCACACTGACATGCATCCGAAGTGTCTCCGGAGGAACTCGCCGAATTTTCTACGTAAACGACAGAATTCTTACTTATTCTCTTCTTTTTCTCTCGTTTCTTCGTTCATTCGCTGCTTCCTGGCGAGAGATCATTACTTACGGCGATAGAGCGCAGAGCCGATAAGCTCGCGCATTCATAGTCTCCCGGTTAAGTTTTTTCGAAGCAACCGACGGAAACGGCATCGTTTTGAGTATGCGCCCACGAAAGTATGCCGTAAGATTCCCCTCTTGGCGAACCAATCCGCTCAAAGTTGCGGTAGTTTCGCGACAATACGGCAACTCGATATTTTTGAGCCCTTTTTCGCGCGCATCCTGCCGCACGCGTAGTATCTTCCGCTTTGCTCTCGCTGGCGTTCACATCGCTGGCGGAAATATCCGCTATTTTTAAACATACTATCGAGAAGGAAATAGAATGAAACGAGAGTATATTTGGACGATGCATAAATATTGTAATCGTTAGTCGTTTATAATGCTTGGGAACGATATATATATATATATATATATATATATATATATATATTCTTCTATTTTGCCGTTCTCTCTCTCTCAAGATTGGAGAGGAAGCAAACGGCGAGCTCGACGGTCCTCTATTAGAGGACTTCTGGACTTTGCATACTCTTTCGCTGTACGTAGCTACGTACCTGTTTTAAACTTAGCCGGCGGAATCTTCGGCAGCGAGGGAAACGGGGTCGGCCGGGAGAGGTAACTGCGGAATCGTTTCGTGGGATTATCGTGCTGGACTTACCGCCGGAAATGATTTCCGCAGCTAATTGAGCGTGCTCGACTGCCTCGCGGCTCGATTACTTCTCAAACTTACCGTGTCGTAGCGACGCGTTCTCTTCTCGCGAGAAACGCAACTAATTCACCGCCGACAGGCCCTATTGAGAATTCTCGCGAGTATCGGCGTCTCGCCTGCGCGATCATGTTATATTTATCGAGACTAAATTGCACGTACAAATGATGGAATTGTTCAATTTCTGTTCACTCAGAAGAAAAAGCATTCGATATCTATGATCTCAATTGATCATCTTCTCTCCTCCCTAATCATCATTACTTTATCTTAAGCAATAAATTATCTAGTTTAATAAAACTCTCTCCTTACAAACAGAAACCGTTTACATTCTTTATCACAATTACAAAATTAGTATTATGAATGTAATTAAATCAAAACGAATAATTGAAGTTTAATAAAGCAGAAAGCCGAATTCCTTGAAAATAATTTACCGCGGACTTATCAAAACACTTTATTTTTCACTTTTGCGAGCTCTCCATAAGCGAGATTAAATAATTTGGCCAACATAATTCTGAAACAGCCGACGTCCAAGTCTATAGAGATGGAATGACATATATTTTGTTAGAGCAAATAAGAGAGAAAGAAGCGCACAGGATGAACGTTTCTCTCGTTTTCTTGTATCTCGTCGATAGTTTGATTATGGATTGCGATTCAATTAGAGCATTAGTCGACTGGATATCATGAGGTACGATCATTGACCGTTCCATCTGCAGGTATTGCGATATCATTCGATTATGATGCTTGGGTGAATCGTAATTATGTCCTCTACATTCGCAACTGGAGTGGGTGACAGTCTGACGAGGGATAGCTACGACGGGGCGTTAGGAGCGGAATAGGTCGTCTTAACAGCCCTGGAGACACGGATGGCACATAGAATAATAGGTTACTCCGGCAACGTGGGTTAGTCCCTGTTAGCAAGACCGAGAATGCACAATGTATGCAAACACTGTAGCGGCCCCGTATTCTCCCGAAATGCTCGAATTACTGTTCTTCGTCCAATAGGATGCTCGCTTAGCTGTCAGGGCGCTTTTGCAGCTCTCTTCGAAGCTAATGGAGAGACGCGACGATCTGTTTTCCTTAAAGCACTTCAGCCATCTCGCGGCGCGTTTATCTCGGGGAAATGGCGCGATACGTCTCGCCCGTCGCAATTTTCTTTTTGCGAAATATATCGCCTCCCCTCACAACGATGTCGACGCGTCTCTCGGCATACCGAGGCCGACACTGAATGTTGGCATTTTCTGCCGTTATTAAACACCTCCATTTCCCGTAATTACTCGCGCTCACTCGCTCGCTCACGCGCTGCTGCATCAAAAGTGCGATACTTACCTTGGAAAAATGCGAAAATGCAGAATAAAAAGATATTATTTCGCGGAATCCGAAAGATCGAACATCTCTTACGATTACACTGTTTTCAAGTAGAAAGATTATACTCGGAAGATTATTTCTCGAGTAGTTGTACACGACGAAAATGATAAATCGAAGTACACGTATTGGGCGATATTACCATGTCCCGCGTTAAGTACTCGTTGCATAGTAAATGCCCTCGCGCCGCGTTCTCACGTGGAGAAATTTCTTCTCCGCTCGAGATGTAGAGTATGAGATATAAGGGAAAAGTGTAACGCGAGTATGCACACGTTGCGCGAATAAATTCATCTCACATGCCGCAGGAATTTCGCCTCCTCGTATCCCACGGTCTTAATGGAGAGGAGCATGGAAAGGTTAAGCGGAGCGACAAGCGAATGAGCTCGTTTGTGTAAAACAGATGAAACGTATTCTCTTTATTCGTATTCGTATGCCATCGAGTTTTATCTTACGCGATCGGACATATCTTAACGTGTAACGGATTGAAATTCGGACAGTAGTGACTATAACTCTAGGACCAGGCTCGTGTCTATTTACAATAGATCTTTGTACAAAAACTAGTTTCATATATAAACAGTAAAACCCACGTCCGTGTGCCGCGTCGATGATCGGGAACGAAGACGTCGCTCCTTAAAGAGAGGATCTTTCTCGGGTTTCGGCGAAAAGTCTCTCGAACGAATACGCTTTTTCTCTTTCGGGTCGTTATAAAAAATTTTGCGTACGAAAAACATGAGCAGTGGTGAGCTTCGAATACGATCACATTAATATCGTTAGTATTTCGAGGATAAGGCTGGATAAGCTACGTTCGCAAACTCATATACATACATACACACACATACATACACACACATTCCTCTTCTTCTCCTCTCCCCACCCCATCTCCATTTCTTTTCTAACCATATTTCCTCGCAGGAGACTGCGAGGCCGACTCGAAGATAGTTTGTAGATTGTAAAAGTTCCAAAAGAATTTTCACGTGAGGTCCATATAAAAAGATATCCTGCGCGCGACTCTCGCGAAATCGGGAGTATGAATAAAGTATAAAGCGCCGTCGGAGATATCCCTTAGCCCATACGCTTCGACCCAGCCTCATCTCTCTCGTTATTGACATTAACTACTTAGGGGTTAGACTCTTTTGTACGTACGATATACCGCTTATATCTCAGTAATGTCAGTAAAGAAATATTTCCGGACGTGTACGGGGCTTCTTCTCTAAGACTTGCGCTAACGTCGTTTATCTCGTCTCTCCTGCAAAATTATGTACGAAAACATAGCCACCTCCGGTAGCGACGATATCGATTTAATGTAATATCGAGGAGAGACCGCGTTCCCGTCAATACGATCCGGAACACCCAACCAGCCTCTACAGTTTTGTACAGTAAACGTTAAGTATATCTCTCTTTTCCTCTCAAACAAATACATACATACTTTCTCTCTCTCTCTCTCTCTCTCTCTCTCTCTCTCTCTCTCTCTCTCTTACTCTCTCTTTCTCGCATACAACTATTGGGAAGATGCCGCGTTAGACCTCGCGATCGCGTCTCAGGGATCCACGGGTCTTTCTCTCTCTCTCTCTTTCCTTCTCTCTCTCTCTCTCTCTCTCTCTCTCTCTGCAACGCTCCTCACCATCCGCGCGCTCGTTACATTTACGCGTGCAAATATAATCGCCGGCGGCGATGGCGTCTCAGAAGCTCACGAGGTTGATCCCGCGGGGAGTCCCTTCGAACTTATATACAACTCTCTTGTATCCGATTCGAGCGTGTCACCACTTCCGGCTGATGGAATTTGCCTTGCGCGGAGACCGACGACGAGACGGGCCTTTGCGGCATCGACGAAAGCCCTTTGCTCGTCCTTTGAAGGCTATAATATATCTGAAAGCATGAAAAATCACGCCTCGACGTTTCATCAGACTGTTGCATGATTAAACGACAAAAGGATACACACGAGTCGTGCAATAGTTACTTTAACGAACAAGCATTTTAATTATTCAGACGCTTCAGAGAAGAGAGCGCGACCCAACTTCTTGAAGTCTTTATATTTTTTTCTTTATATCTTTATTAATAGATATTTATTCTTTATTTTTATATCTTTATTAAAATCCTATTGTTTTTTCGATATGTATATATATAGTTCGGTTCTAGGCTTGAATTCGCATTCAAGTAGGTATTATCATATGAAGAGTTCTTACGATTTAATTGATTGCAGTATCTGTCAGTATCTGTCTTGGGATGCACAATATTTATTGGGCTAGGTATTTACAGCATCTATCCGAACACAGGCTTAGTATCAAACTAATGGCAGATAAGTAGATTTCTAAGATAAAGGTTTCAAGAAGTTGGCACGTAGCAGCTCGCGCGTCAGAGTGCGATTACTCTGACGGAGGAGAGCGGAAGTCGTACACGAAACGAGTAATGTGCATCAGGACTGGCCTCGTCGAATTATCGAGAAAACTTGGACGTAATTAAACTTACGAAAGCGCAGATAACTCAAAGATCTGCTTAAACCGGAAAAGTTAAAGTGGGGGACTAGCGCATATTGAGGCAAACCTTCTCGACTGACTCTCCACCGCTCTCTGGTCGAAACTCCTAATATTTAAAACAACCCCTCTGATTTAACCCCGCGAAAGTTAGAAGGGGCCAATATTACGACGAAAACGGAGGTCGAATCGGGTATTACGGATATTAAAAATGCAGCGTCCCTCCGACGCGATTAAGGCTGTAATTCCGTCGGCTTTCGGCTTCCTCTCTTTCTCCCAATTCTCGCTCCCAATTTTGCGTTATTCACACGCGGAAGCTAACGATAGAGAACTGAACAAACACCATTGGAAAATTGCGGGCAGTTTACTCGAATTTCCTCTTTGACGAGAAAGTCACGATAATTAAATCGATTATGCAACGATCATGAGACTGAGCAACAAATCGTGCGTTTCGGCGGAATTCACTCACGTTTTGGTTGTTACGCTGATTGTACGCGTCCATCGCCATCTGCTTGAAATCTGCCATCGTGGGCGGATGATTATAAGTGCTCTGTTTAGACACGTGATTCTGCGGGTAATTTAAAGTAGGCGTTGGCAGGCAGTCAGTTAGCATTGGATCCGGGGGCAAATCTAGACCGTGCTGAACGATTGGCCTTTTTTCCGGCGAGGCATCTTCGTCGGTGGCTCGGTCTTTCTTCCGTCGTTGTGGCGGTGTCTTGTAGACGGGAGTGTACGTTAGGGGTCTTCTCTCTGTGAACAGATTTGACGAAGCCATGCAGAGCCAGACGACTAAGCCGCTTAGTCGATTAAATCAAGGTAGGACCGGCTATTTTATAAATGCTAGCCTCTCTCGTGACCGCGACAAACATAAGTCCCACGTACGAGAGATTCGTCGTGTTGTGTGTCGCGTGTGTTTTCCATTACGACGCTAAAAGCGAGACTCCGCGAGGATTTGCTCACTCCCCCTCTATCAGGACGGGACTTTTCCATTTGCGAAAATTGCGAAATCTGGGCGGAGCGTCTCTCGATTTTTAAGTATCTCGATCTATCTTCATATATCCCGACATTATTATTATTATTATCATTATTATTATTATTATTTCGCATGGCTCACTCGCCGACGTAGCTCGTATTAATATCGCAAATGGAAATGCATTTTCATGGAAAAGGTAACATCGCGCTGAAATGAATTTAAATGAGAAGTTTGCTTCGCGGACTAGCTTGTTACAAGTATGAAAAGCTAACGTGCTTGTTATTATATCCGCGCCGCTTGGAAAATGAGATATCAGATTAGACTTTTATTATATTCACATTTACGCGGATTTGAAGCGCGCACAACATGTGTTCTTCCGATGGCGCGTACTGCTGCTGCGTCTATGACATTTTGCGTCGATCTTAATTCGTTATGTTTGATCAAGCAAAAAACTCGGTCGAATTATTCGCCACCGTACTGATACTTCAATGCGTACTTCAGAACGAAACAATGCTTCGGCAAAATGTGCAAAACAATATATCGATAGAACGCGCATTGCTGTCGCCACATGTGAATCCATCAATAATTTAATTACATTACGTTGCACATTTATGAAGATTAAAGCGCGTGGCTTTCGATGCAAGAAATCGATACGCAAAGTAATATCCGTATAAAGTCAGGAAAAAATTTCCGCATCACTTATAAATGTCCATGAAAATATGAGCGAGAGAGCTAATTTTTTGCTAATTTTTTTGGCAAATTTTTTGTGGAACAATTCATTATTTGATTATCTTGTTACTACTTAATTCCAGTAAAGATAGAAGTCACGATCGTGATTTTTGCTTATTTCGCCCACAACGCAATGCAGTACTCAAAAATATAAAACCGCAAGTTTTTTTTATCAATATTAAGCAAGTATGAAGTAAAATATGTATCCTACGAATATATTTCATCTCTCACACTCTCAACGCGTTGTTATTCCGTTAAAAATTTGGTAAAACCTTTTACGCCTGGTGCATTTTTGTGCATCTCGAAAAAGCAGAGATTATTTTTTATTAATGCTGTCGAACCACTGTATCTGTCTCGTGACACATTCAAAGGAAATACGCGCGCGCGTGACGACCCAGCTAGATTCTCGTCGACGCGAAATAGAGCGAATTGTGGCGGATATACGCGACGCAAGGCGCGATTCGCGCGCGACTCTTTTTCCCGACGATCGGGGAACGCCGGCGTACTCACCATACTCGTTGGGTATGATGTCCGGATCGATGTCATCGACCGCCTGCTTGGTCTGAGGGTGCACCGGGGTGGTTGCACCTGCATTAGGCGGCTCGCACACGATGGGAGCGTGCTTTGGACTCCCGGGTCGGCCGGTGAAGTGCTTCCGGCAGAGCGCCACTACGATTACAGCTACGGCCAGGACCAAAAGGGTCGCCGTGGCTGCCAAGCCCAGCAACAACGGATTCAGCATCGATGCGTTGGTGTTGCCTGTCGCGACAGTCGATGCAAAATGCTCGATCAACTGGAACTTCTATCGATCATCCCGTGTATCCCTACCCCGCGCCAGCGACGCGACCCATCCCTTTCGCCCGATCCTGCATTCTGTCCAGCGCGAGGCAGAAGTTTGCGCAAGTCGTAGTGCAGGAAGCACTATAAGTAACCTCTCTCCCTCTCTCTCTTTTACGTCGAGTCGCTCTCTCGTTCGTTCGGTTTCCCTCGTTCCTTTTCCTCTTTCTCGCGTATCGAAGTCGTATCAACGAGAGGGAAAGAAAGGGAAGGAAACGCGACTGCTTCTCCGTACTTTTCAATTACCCTTGGATTGTGTCGCGTCGCTCGTTGATTGGCTGCAAATTCGTGAACGGAATCCGGAACACGTAATAAATGTTTTATGCGTTCCCGGCTACTCCCCTGTGCAGCTACTCCCGGACGAGACATTTCCAGGCGCCGACTATTTTGCGTCTCGCCGTGGCCTTTCTCTTTGTCTCGGTAAACGAAGGTATCAGAAAGGAGGCGATTCAACGTTTCTCTATTACCGACGCGTGACACACCGTCTCGCACAAAGAGTACGTACAACGGTAGATCGAAAAGGGATCATTGAACGGGCGCAGTGCCTTGATATATATCGCAAAGCGCTGCTCTGAAAGTGGCCTGATTGCAAGAGCTAAACTCCCTTTGTGATAACGCCGTTCACAGACTAGCGCGATCGTTAGAGCGTGAACCACGCCGGAGAAAAATTGTAACTGCTGCTCGACGCGATAATTTGTTATGTCAACAAACTCAATCTCGCGCTCGTGTTGCTCGTAGTATCGGGCAATTCGATTAAAATATTTCTCCGACTCTGCAACTTTGTTCAACGGATTACTTTGGCGGAATATTACACGGTATCGTGACACATACTGAGAGAAAAACATGGTTGATTTAATTAAAATTATTTTTTATTCTAACTATATTTTTTGTAGTAAAATGATAACATGCATATTATCACTAACGTTATAATATAATTTAATTAAAAAATGATTTTCTTGACCATAATTTATAGTAATTATTTGTGTGTGATTATTATTACAAATACTACATATTTTTTCTCAGTGCACCGATTATCTCAAAGATTGCGGAGCTCGTTTCAATTGCATGCACGGTTTTTTTAATTTTCTTTCATTATATTTTTATCCCGGACATATTTCCTTTCTTGATGATTCGCGATTACGCGTTTCTTAAATTATTAATTTTTAGGAAAGAGGAACACCCAAAAAAATATAATACCCTAATCTTTAAATCCTAGGAAATTTTACTTTTGTCCATATGATCTTAAGAGAATTCTTTTAAATATAAGAAAAAAATATATTAAGCACAATATTCTTAAAGTTAGGCGAATCTCGTCTTTTAGATACAGTACAAGTTTTGTTCTTTATGGAAATTTCTTCTAGTAAGAGAGAACATTTTGCTTCAAGTAAATTATATTCCTTTTGATTCAAAAAGAAAAGGAAATGTTAGAACATTCAGAAAAAAGTTAGAACAACAGGATAGACGTAGCCGTGACGGCCATCTCTGCGTCACGAATTTACGTCTATTCTATGCAGATGAGATAACGTAGATAATTCCCCCCTGTGCATTGACTCTTTCTGCTACCCTCTTTCTTTCTGTCACGACGATCTCGATGACCACTGCGTCGATATCGGGTACCCAGGTTAATAAGCAGGATAATAATTAACGAAGGTATGTCTATTATAAGGCTATTACAAGTACAACCCCTCTTTGTATAAATGTGCGCTTCTGTTTCACAGGCGCAATATACCGCACGCACATACGAACGTGTGTCTGTCTCTCTCTCTCTCTTTCTCTCTCTCTCTCTCTCTCTCTCTCTCTCTCTCTCTCTCTCTACTTTACCCGGTTTTACCTCCGTGTTCTCTGCGTATGCGTTCATTCGCGCGTGCAAACACGCGTGTGGGCACCTCCTTGTGTTAACGCGTTAACGTACGTGCGGACGAGCACGCATGTACATATATGTATTTATATACGTATTTATATACATATATTTATATATAAATACGTATATATGTTTCAGAGCGCAAGGAGAATATAATTACATCAATTAACGTACACCTTGCCGCGCGCATACAACCGTAAAACCGCCCCTACAAGAACGTCCGCGCGAAGTCCACCTAGCCGACCTCTCCGGGTTGTTATCACGAGCTCGCTCGTACCGCACCTAAATATAAACCGGTTTGTGTATGTGGGTCCGTTATGGTTGTCGGAAGCCATGTCCTATTGACCCTGTGCACTCGTACCCTCCTATGCGCTGCGGGCGTTTTGTTCGAGTTTTTCAAGCCCAGATCCCCGCGCTGTGTACCAGCTGCACATTATTACGAATAGGTGGTCTCCCTGTAAAATTTGATTTCCGTCTCGCCCGGCGGATGCGCGATATTTTGGCGTGCACGACACCATGGAATTATGTAGGATATAATTCGCCGATGTAGAACGCGTCGTTTCGTCGGCACACCCGTGCGTCATGTCGTCACCGATGAAGATTCACGCGCGGGGATGCGGAGAAGCGCATTGTAGCTTTTTTCCGCGCAACTGTGTAACAGTTATCTCGATAATAGCGAGTGCTGCAAGCGCGAGTTTCGCAGTTGCTGCCACGTTAGCCGCGGTAACTAAAGCTTAAGCGAGCGGTAATACCCGAAGCGACGAGCTCGCAGCTCGGTTAAAAACACGAAAAGGCGGCGGCGGCGAGATGCGCCTTTTAAAGCTCGTTTAGCGCTGGGAAACCGACCGCGGCCCATTCAGGACCTCAAAGAAATGAAACGGTGTAAACGAGATCGCTCCTGGGCTACAAGTGCGAGTTCTGCCTTTAGAGGCTTCGGGTTTATTGTTTGCAGTTGCAGCCTCTGAAAGAGGCGGCGTAAATACGTCCTCTTTCAACACGGTTGCCTCAATATCGCAAATTATATCCGCGAGTCGTCGATCTTCGCGGAAAACGTCTCGCGCGTAAAAACGAACCACGCCAATTCCCGCCGCGCTTAATGATCGTCGCCTCTCTGTCTTAATCATCGCGTTGTCAACAGTTTGAAAAAAGAGGATTGAAATGATAAAAGCGAATAAATCGTTTCAACTGGCTTGAAAACAATAATAATTGATTTTAATGGGACACAAAGCGATAGTGTTGATCGAATCGACGCGTCGCGGATTAATCACGTCGTCGAATATGTGTCACTTGTGCCGGCGACATTAATGTCGTCAGAACAATGCCTGTTTTGCGAGATACTCGTGATGAAATCGTGGAAACGATTGTATAACTGTATCATAACAAACGCGTACTTCTCTTCGTAGATCTATGATACGTATAAAGTCGTCAGCGTGATTTAAACGTATTTCGCGTATATGATCATTATATTCCGAAATCATTTGTTCTCGAAAGTAATTTTGTAACGAAATTACGCGTAAAGGGAAACGGTATATACTGTGCATCCGCTCGGTAAATTAATGCTTCTGTGTTCGGGCAAATTCTATTTTCCGTATATTACGTTCAGTTTAACGGTCGTTCCGCGCGAATATTGCGCGCCGCAACAAAACGCGGCGAAGGAAAGCTAGAATTATTCGCCGGAATTTTATGGCGTTTATTCCGAAAACGCAACACGACCGCATCGAACTTCGACAAAGAATAGAACATTTGCAAAGACTGTAACGTACCGTTTTGTTGCGACAAATATACACATTTCTTTTTTTGCAGAATTGACGCATTTAATTCAGCACGTATATCTATGGTTTATTGCGCTCTCAGTGTTGTATTATACAGCCCATTGCTATCGCGTTGCATCAGTATGACGGTTAAATTGAATCGCGAGTATATATTACGCGCGATATTAGCGCGTTCCGAGTCGGAATACGATTGTTTGCCGGGATAAAAGCGCATTTGAAATTAACAATCCCGGCAATATATTCGTCAAAAGCATTGCGTGCTTACGTAAATTGCGAGCGAATAAATTCTCGTCGAAAGTCCATTATGCAAATATTATTGAGCGGGGAGATGCACCCGTGAGAGGTGCTTCTTAAGAGCTCGCTGGAAAAAAAACGAGGTGGTGAGGCAGAGAGGAAGACGCGGCATGAAATACATAAAATTTCGCACCGCGCAGGCATAACGATCCAAGTTTGTTAATAAGAAATGGGAGATTGCTCGTTAACCGGAGACGTCGGCTGTAAAATCCGCGTAGAGTTTCCATTCGGCTGTGATATGCGAGATAACGCCTCGGAACCGATTAGACGGTCCGCGCGAAAAGGGAAAGTCATCGAACCGTTGATCGAAATGAGCCAATAAAACGGGCGTGCGCACAAAATCGGGAGAGGCTCCAATCTCGCGTACGAGGAAAACCGACGAGAAAAAAAACAGGCTGTCACGTTTAATCATGGTGTCGCTCCTTGGATCGGCCACCGTCGGCGTCGTTGAAATTTTTAAAAGAGCCGTAAATCCGCTGTTATCCGCAGTCCTGTAGGAGACAGAGGTAGCTGGAATTCCGGCTTGACGGGCATCCAGGGAGCATTCGTGATACTCGTTAAAGTTTGATTAGACTTTGATTGCCGGCGGAAAGCGGACCAATTTAAACTCCACCTCGCAGACTACGAAAGCAAAAAAAAGACACAGTGGGAGTAAAAGAGAGGGAAAGAGAAAGAGAAAGAGAGAGAGAGAGGGAGGGAGAGAGAGAGAGAGAATGATGGGGAGAAAGAGAGGGGAGAAGGAGTGGAACGACACCCGGCGCCCAAGTGAACGCGGGTGTTACGTCTCGGCTTTGCCGCGTTCTCTCCATGAAAGAATTTAGTCGAGAGCGGCAGAGCTACCTGTCCTTCGCTTGTATGTACAGCCGACGCGCGGACAGTGTGTTTACACCGGAATATGTCCCAGACACCGGGAGTAATTAAACTTTTTCCAGTGTGAAATTGCAGGGCCGCGCCGGCGCGCTGAGTGGCGAGCGGGGTGTGGAAGGTACAGTTGC